GAAGAAGAAGAAGAAGAAGAAGAAGAAGAAGAAGAAGAAGAAGAAGAAGAAGAAGAAGAAGAAGAAGAAGAAGAAGAAGAAGATAAAGAATCATAAGGACCAGTGATGATTGTTATTAACTGGGAAGTTATATGGAATAGCCTATGGTCACCTGGAATGAAAGTACCTGTGAGGATTCCTAACCGAAATGTGTCATCTCTACCCATACTTACAATACCTCAAATTATGTATTTCAAATAAAATCTAAATTTTGGGTCTGAACACATATTGCCAAAAAAATATACTGGGTAAGCCAAAATCAAACACATAAGCAAACAATGTGTAATTACCTTCTCTTCATTCTGGCATTTGGATATTGCCTCCTACACTATTCACAAGCTGGTTCGCTGGCATCCTTAGTACATGTCTTTAGAAAGCATGTGTCTCCAGTTTTGAAACCCCTGCAATGCATTAAGGTTAGTTTCTGGAACTTGTTTCTTTGATAGCCAGCCCAACAAAACCCTAGAGAAGGCAAGGACTGGGCTTAGTGTGCTTTTGAACACCCACTATCACAGTAGTTAGCACTAAGAATCTTGGCCTTTCTTTCTTTTTTTTTTTTTTTTTTTTTTTTAACCAGGGATTGAATTTAGGCCCTTGTGCTTGCCAGGCAAGCACTTATTCTACTGAGCTATTTCCCCAGCCCCTTGGCCAGTGTTTTTCCTCAAGAAGGTTGGCATGTGACCTTGGACGAGCTCACTTTGGGGAGTGGAGTGCTGATTCGGATGCAGTAGCCCCTGGAGGCTGTCTTACTGGCTCTCCTCACACTGCTTTTGTGTCTGATTTCAGCCAGACCCTGTGTGCTGAGCTCTGCTCCATTGCTTTGCTGTTGGGGGGCTCTGGGAGTCTGGAGGTAGTGGGCTTTATCAGCTGTTCTCTTTTTGTTGTAAGCCTCATTGTTTGGCTTAATGTCCTTGATCAAAATCTATGAATTTTCAAGGCCTGGGGACTTAACAAAAAACTGCCTAAGTAATTTTAAATGGGATCATTTTGCCCATCTTCCTGACAATGCAGGCTCCTATCTCCAGCAAGGTTATCCCAAGGGTCTCCTCCATGTACTAGAAGAGTCACAAAAACTGTGAGTTCATTTACATCTGATTTGCATATATTTACCTGAGCCTACTGAAAGTCTGGAAGTCTGAACAAGTCTGAGCAGAGGTGATTTTCAAGGGCTAGAATCTCATTGTCTTTCCCTGGAAGTCAGTCATCTACAACAGGATCCTTTCTCATGAGCTGTATATTTTCTATCAGGAAGCAGGTCTTTAGGGGCTGGAAGGAAACAGAATCCTAGTCAAAAGACAATGAGTCTGTTAGAAAAAGCTCCATATTCCTTCCATTCCTTTAATAATACCAAGTAAATGTTTATGGGCCATCTGATGTTTGCCAAACACAGCTCTAAGTTCTGGAGATTCATGACCGACAGAAGTTGTCTGCCCACTCTTGCCATAAATATTAATGAAGAAGAGTGGTATAAAAAACAAAAGCAAGCAAAGCAAGAAAGAAGGCATATCTAGGCAGTGTTAACCGCTATGGACAAATATTGAATCACATTGAATCAAAGAGTAACTCCAAGGGAAGGCAAGGCGATAACATGTTCTGGAAAGAATTGCAACTCTCTGTATCACCAAGACAGTCTCATACAGTTTGGCAGAGTTCTCCAAGCAGAGAGAGTGGCGGCCTGAGTCTAGGAAGGGTGTGGAGCTCTTTAATTAATTTTTTAGGTACATTTAAGTATACATAGTGATCATATTCATCATAGGAATGCGTACCCCTTAGTGTTAGAAAAACCAGTGTCACTATAGGTTGAAGAAAGGAGATAGAAGTACAAACTAAATAGACAAGGTTTGAATTGTGTGAATTTCTTGGTCAAGAGAAGGAATTTCATATTAATCTAAGTTTAGAAGTAAGTGATCGTATTCCATGTAGCAGAATGGCATGTTTAGCTTACTTCTTAGGAATCCTTTCAGCCCTGTGAATAGACTAGATGTAGGGCTAGGGAGCTAGTTCAGTGCTCTAAGTGCCTGCCTAGCAAACACAGAACCTGGGTTCGATCCCTGGTACCACATGCCATGCCGGCCACTAAAACTGGGAGTGGTGGTGCACCCTAGTAATCCCAGTGCTGGGGCAGCTGAGAAAGGAAGATCACTATGAGTCTGGGCTGTGTAAGGAGACCCTGTACCAAATAAATAAATAAATTAATTAATTAATTTTAAAAATTAAAAAAATGGATGCAGAGGGAAGAAGAATATAGGGTAAGAGGAGGTGGTAAGAGTTAGGGTGTTTTGCTATTTGACTTGTTTGAGAGGAGAGTGTTCTTCCCTGACATAATGCCAGTGGAGAAGGGAAGACTTCTCCGGGATTAACACAGAGTATTTTCTAATGGCTGTCTATGGGATGTGAAAGTAAAGGATAAATCATAGAACTACTGATCAAGAACTTTGTTCTGAATAAAGCAAGTGGATGGCATGCCATTCAGTAAAGACAAAAGACTTGGTCAGGATCAGATTCCAAAGGGGTGAAGAGAGGCAACACTGAGTTTTTATGGTAGCTGTGCAGTTTTGAAAGGACTTCGTTTCTGTCCAGTGAGAGTGGAGAACCTTGTTGAGGAGAAAGGGTTAGGGGTAGGAAGAGGATAAATACCTGCACTGAACGATCAAAGAAGTCCCTTTTCCAGCTAAAGATTCCTATTAAAGAAGACCTTTAAAAATATTTCTTCAGTTAATATTTGCAGACATGAACTGGCAAGGTTCAATTGATGAGAAAGTACAGTTAATTTGTGTTATTTTTATGCTGAGTGATAATTTTCCTTGAGCAGACTTGGTAAACTGTGATGAGAGAGAGAGAGAGAGAGAGAGAGAGAGAGAGAGAGAGAGAGAGAGAGAGAGAGAGGCAATAGATGATAAAGAGGTGATTAGACAGGTAGATATTTCTTTGCCTCCCCAAAAATGAAAAAGATAAAGACAGAGAACAGAAATGTGATTTCTAGGCAAATCTGAGAAATCTGTTTCTTTGAGGAAATAAAAGATCATTTGCATAATTTAAACCATTGTGAGCTACATTAAAATTAATAGTGTGCCCCAGGTTTATATGCAAAAGGAAATCTTTAAGGGAGGCCCTGAATTAAGGATGTGTATAAGAAACAAAGCCTGAGTTGAAAGATGTGAGTAAAACCCCACCTCCACTGCCAGTAAAATAAGCAGAAGTATAAGTAGATATAAGATGGAAACAAAGAGATAGAAAAGAGAAATAATAACTGAATAACTTATTCATTTAATATTATTCCAGGTAGATTTATTTTACACATTCAAAATTTCTATAAAGGACTAGAAAGTTAAATATTAAAGCTTTGATTTTAGCTACTTTGCTCTATTTTTTTTCCTTTAGACTCCAAATAACTTGAAATGTGGACATTGGTCCCATGACCTCAGGAATTGGACTTTTTTTTTTCCTAGGAAGTGGTGGAATTTCAGAATATAATATGAAGTATTAAAAACCGCGGGGGTCAGTAATTCTCAGAATCTCTTTGTGTCAGTCTAAAAGAGGACCTAGGAATTCCATTAATTTGCCTCCTAGGTAATCCAAATACGACACTTTGAAAAACCCTATTGGAAGTCATCCCGGGAAATGAAATTCTTACCCAAGGTGGAACTCAGAGTTCTTGGAAACAAAACACTGTTACCAAGTTTTAAAGCATTTTAAATTGTAATGAATCCTGGGACCTATCTGTGGAGTCCTGAGCTTCTCTCTTCCTTGGTGGGTCTCAGCACACAGCTCAGAGCCTGTTAGAAGCACATCACTAGGTGGGGAGGGAAGTCATACAGCTCTCTTCTGGAAAGCCTAGGAAAATTCTCCTTGTGAGAAACACCTTCCCTCCCATCTAGACTTTTACCTAAGAAAATTCTCATTGTGAGAAACACCTTCCCTCCCATACAGAATTTTACCATTGCCTTTTCTAAGAAACCATAATTAAAGATCCTTTAATATGCAAACCTATGTTTAAGGACCCAGAGCCCAGAAGCACAGCAACCGTCTGTTCTAACCCTCCATTGTCTTCCGAGAGCTCCGTATTAGGTATTCTCATGATGATTCTCCAGTAGGAGCACAAAACTGTCACCTGCCCTATGGCATGATTAATCTTTACTGAGTGTCCCCTCAATAAACTCCATGGTTCTGTTTGTGAATATTCTGGCATACTCTTTTCTTGAGTAAAAGTTTCGGAAGGGCCAGCATTCATTTTAAAGAAAACTTCATTTGCAGAGCATTTGAAAAATTACCAGATTCTGTTAGTCTTACAGGCAGGTTATTTAAAGTTATCTTATGTATCATGCATTGATGAAGAAATTTTACAGTTCCTGAATGCACTAAAGTATATTCCACACTAAATCTCTAGGGGATAAAATACCATTTTCTTTGGTATGCATAAAGCAGTGCAGAATTTTCTGGTATCTCTGGGTCATAATTAGGAATGGTAATCATTGAAATGTGTTCCTGTAAAGAATTTTGTTTATGCAAGCTTTCAAATTATTGTAAATTTAATGTGAAAGTACATGTGATAAATTATCTAGCAGCAATATATGAACTAAGACAAAACTGAAATTATTATACTGGCTCTAAAAATATTGATACAGCATAAAATTAATTATATCATTTTGAAATGGTTCACCTGTAGCTGGTCAGTACTTTCCATTTCATTACCTCACATTGACAGAAAATCAAAGAAAGGCATACATCTGTTTTTTATGTATAGTTGTCAAACATTTTCTGCATGTAGTTACTTTGCAGTGACACAAGTTGCTGAATCAAAGGTGATAACAATGTTTTTGTACCTTTGTTTTAAGGCTGGAAATTGAACCCTGTTGTGGGTGCGGTATACAGTCCTGAATTCTATGCAGGTAAGGGGTATCTCAGTGCATGCAGCCTTAGTCCTTTCTCAGTGTGCTTTGCCTGCCTCTATGTAATGAGTTTTGTAAAGTAACCTAAGCCATGTGACTCCATGTCCTAACAACTTCTGAATGATTTCTTTGGGCAAAACCAAGAAAGTCTTAAGCCCTTTAAAAACTAAGGGGGAATCCTATGCCTTACACTGCGGGGTATGCACTGAGTCCTATTGCCTGTGACATTTCACATTGGTCTTGCCCTAAAAAAGCATTGAGGCTTTGTTCAATATTATTATATTGAACAAATGGAGAGCGGCTCATGCCCATTTTATTTCAGTGTGCCTGGGTATCTTTTAGTTACACATTTTCATTTGGGGTTGGTTGCGTTTTCTTTTTCCTAGAAAAGCAGAGTTGACTTCCTTATTCCAATAACATGGCAGTGACTTGGAGGTGCCAAGAGAAGTCCTATTTTAAGAAGGAGAGAAAATTAAGTTGTCTTTCATTTTTTATTCATCCACTTCCCTTAGCAATTCCTCTTCTCTACACTTTGCCTTCAAGGATGTATCTCTCTCCCTACCTTTTCTCTGCCTATAAGCACCAAACACCCTGCCATTAGAAAACTCAGGCACCCAATTTGGGGAGAGGGCAATCTAGACGCACCAGAATCCGAGATTTCCTACTTTGATGTGCTCAGCTTGTCCTGTCCCTACTGCTTCACGCCTTCTTCATCATCAAGCAGACTGCAGTGAGCATCCAGAACCCTAGCATAGCCACATAGGTATGGAAAAGGAGCCTTTCTTTGATGGGGATCTTGCTTTTGAACAAGGAGAAATAAATAACCAATTTACCTTAGACCCCGTCACTTAGCCATCTCTTGACGGTAAGTTGTGTCTCTTGTTTGTTTCTTCCTGGGATGCCTAACTTCTGTTGGCTTCCTGATACAAAGCATTTGTCCAAGAAGAACCTATGAAGCTTAGCTTGGCCACACACACACCACCCCCTCCAAAAGAGATGAAAAAACAAAAATTAAAAATTTGGTAAATCTGGGAAGGCTCCATACACTGGTGGAGTTCTGGATTTAGATAGGCAGTATTTGCATGTGTTCTTCACATGTGAATTTTATTTAGCAGAATCCTGGATTAAGTCCAGGGATTCCCCCACCCCACCCCCGCCATCCCGCTGACCTTGCATTGTAGTAGCTGTGTTGCTTCTTATGAGGGAGGATGAATATAACTCTGGGACTTCCCAAGATTATATTATGAAACCCACCTGGAGGATACCCAGCCTAGTGAGGAGCGTGGAACCTGTACCCAGACAGCCCAAGCTGAAATCCTGGCTTCCCAGCAGTGTGACTCTGGACAAGTTACTTATCCTCTCTGTGCCTCAGTTTTTTTCAGCTTTTAAATGGAGATAGTGATAATAAGCAGCTCATAAGATTTTATTACAGTTGAAGGGATTAATATAGGAAGAATAGTCGGCAGCATATAAACATTCATAAATAAAAATGAATGAGTTGATGCTCTACTTTTCTGCCATGAGGTAAAAATTAGCTGAGAGATGATTCTACTGATTTCTGAGCATTCTATTGGACTAAGAGACTACTTAATTCCTAGGAGGACTAGTTTAGTAGTCCTCAGCATGGGGGGAGTTAATTTCTGGAGCAGGGCATGGTGGTCTGTTGGGGGAGCACATGGAAAGTGGCAGGTATTTCAGGTCCCCCAAATGCTAAAACACGCAGCTTCAGTGTGTCTGTGGGAGCAACCTGTGATGTACAGTAGCTGGATTAAGGAGATGCATGCTCTCTATTGTGCAGCAGTGGGGGCTTGCCTCGGTGTGCAGACTTTCTCCCCAACATGGTGGGGTGAAGAACCAGAAACAGGAAGTCTACCTGTAGGGAAGTTGATGCCAGTGTGAGGACTGTCAGGGAAGAGCTTGCATCTTTCTGTCCTGTGCAGGGCTTTACTGGTCTCCTTGGCTCCCTGCACCAGGAAAATAGCAAAAGTCTCCTGTACCCAGGACTTCAATCCTAAATGCATGTTTATGAATGGTTAATGGGACATTACGACTGACTTACCCAACACAGATAAATTAATCTGCATTCCTTTGAGAACAGCTACTCAAGTTAACTGGGGGCCTAGCCTTGGCAGTGAGGTTCCAACACTGTAGACAGGAAGGTACAAGAGTTAATATTTACCGAGCAATTTCAATGGGCAGGCACTAGTCTAAGCACTTTGCACAAGTTAATAGATTAAATCCTTGAAGAAAACTTCCAAGTAAGGACACCAAGGTAGAAAATGTGTAGATAAGTGGCCTAAGATTTTACAACTGGTAAAAATTCAGTCAGAGTTTTTCTTTTCTTTATTTTGGTACAGGATCTCACTATGTAGCTCAGACTCATAGCAATCCTCCTCTCTTAGTCTCCTCAGCGCTGGGAATACCAGAGTACACCATCACACCCAGTTTGGGTGGCTGGCTTGGCACCTGGGCTTCTGGGGCCAGCACAGAATGTGGTACCAGCTATTGAACTCTGGTCCTTATGCTTGCCAGGCAGGCCCTTAGACTGCCGAGCTATCTCCCCAGTGCTGGCTGGTCAGATTTTGAAGTCAAGTCTTGGTGCCTGAGTGCTTTATGACCAGGTTATGCCACTTCTTTTTTTTTTCAATGCCATCACTTCCTCTGGCTGCACCACACTGTCTCATACCCAAACCAGAAAAATAAAGGAAGCAACAAAATCATTCTGGGTTTTTCCAGTCACCACAATCATTCCCATCTTAACTTTTGCTAATTGGTTGTGTCAGGAAAGCCTTTAGTAACCCTGAACAATCACAACTATTTCTAGGTGTTCTTCCAAGAAATTAAATCTGGAAAATTTGGAGCATAGGGAAATAAGGCTTAGCTAAAAAAACCCCTGAATATCCGTGCCATATGCTGCTGATATCTGGATTAACATAAAAAACTAGATATTTTCCTTCTCCTGTATATTTGTGGGTATAGACAGATAGTGTTGTGATACTCACAAGTGTAGAGAAACAGCACTACAATTTCAACATTGTAGCACAGTTTCTTCAAAATACATTAAAGCTCACAAACACTAAGAATGAAGGTTGCTAAAAATCCAAAACTATAGGATGAATAGATATAAAGACATATGTAGAATAAATTTATTTCCATATCCAGGCCTAATTCTTAATGTCCTCCATCTAGATGTCCATGACTAAAAATTTATAAAGCATTTTAAATTTTCCCAGCTCTAGAAATAGTCTGGATTCATCTTGCACGTCAAAATGTGCCTCAAAGCTGGAATGGAGACCTTGTCATTGATTTGCTTTGGATATTGTAGAAGCCAACCCTGTATCTGCTTAAGATAGAAAGCCAGACTTCTTAGTCACTTCTATATATACGACACTGTTAATGACAAATTTCATAATATTCCCATAGCATAATTATTGATTTTCTGAAGCTTATGCAGAATTAACAACCCAGCCTTCAATTGTCTCTCAGAATGGGGCATGAAAAGTTCACATATTTTGTAAATTAAAATCAATAGTTTCAATCTCTCCTAAAGGTAATTTTCCTAATTTAGTGGACTTGTCCCTAACATTTATTTTCTCTTTTAATTATAAAATGGCAAGTTATTGATTTTTGTATATAACCTTTCAATGCCCCTGGTGCATTTTTATTGCTAACGCAGGGAAGGAATGGGTAAGGCAGTTGCACTTCTTAATGAGGACCTTTAATTACTAGCTGAACAGTATTCATTTGCTTTGATAAATTATGACATTTGCTCTCACACACATGCACATTTGAAGGGAAGCGCTTAGAAAGCTGTTGCAAAATGTCTTTCATTTTGCATGGTTTTTCTCCCTGAATTCTCAAGTCATTCTTCTATGGGCTTTTTAAAATTCGCATTCAATACAGCCTCGAGAAGCAGATATATACAAATCAGCATATCTCATGAACATATATAAATCTTCTGCAAAGACAGGTGGGCGTTTTCCTATAAAGCTAACAGCATCGATTATTTTACTAAGTCTAATCATCTTCAGACCCCTAAAGGCTCAGTCTCAAGACAAATGATTGATAAGTCAATTAAAGTTGAAGTGAGTTTTGAAGACTTTGGCTCATGGGTATGGCCATACCATTTTAAAGTTAAAATAAAATTGAAAACAGTAAAAAGTAGGGTACTAAAGGTATCTTTGACCCACAGCATACCTCAAACTATTTGGGGTAGTTAACAAGAGCACTCCTAACAATCTGGATAAAAAGTTCTGATACGGGATCCTTACATTTTCCCCTGTAATTATAAGAAGCTGCTATGCCTTTTTTTTTTTTTTTTTTTTTTTTTCAGACCTGGGGATTGAACTCAGGACCCTGTGCTTGCCAGGGAAGTGCTTATTCCACTGAGCCATCTCCCTGGCCCCTGCTATGCCTTATGATCGAAAGACTTTTTAAAAAGTAGTAGCTTTGGAAGATAACCATGATATCTACCCAAGAAAACTTTTGATTTAAGGAACCTTTAATTCATAAATAAGCAAAATGGAATAAAAGTAAATAACAGAAGGTTGCACCAAGTTGTCGGCATGGCACTGCCAACAGCAAACGTATGTGCTTTTCAACAGCTGATAAGATACACACTGCAGAGCTCCCCTGCTCCGGAGACCACACCAGCCAACTCATTTCTGTGATTAAATATTCCATCCATGGGGTAAAAGGTGGCAAAGCTTAACAAGATTAATAAAATGTACCACTTGAGCACACATAACTCATGTCTGTGGTTAGAGAGCGTCCCACCTGCAAAGGAAAATTGGAATTGAGTTAGATTACTCATGAGACATGATCAATAGGGGGAAAGGTGAAGAGCTAATAAATGCAGACTTAAGATGCAGTAGGATCCCCACAACACATACACACTCAGGACCAAAAGCAGAGAGCAGCAGGGGAAATCAACCTGAAAATCCTTAAAGGGGATGATGAACAATGGTCTGGATTTATTATTATTATTATTATTATTATTA